CCCCAAAACCCCAAAACCCCAAAACCCCGTTGACATAAATCTATCAAAAATCTCATATTTTAACAAATTACAAAAATCAAATATATTTTGTAACTTAGATAGAGTATAATGTTTTTATCTCATATTTTTTTCATAGATTTGAATCTCCTCTTTCTCGATCCATTCTCTAATTCCAATTTTTCGATTATGTTTCTAGCAGGATCAAGATTTCTTAATCGGTACTCTCTTGCTATCTAATTTGCTTCATTCTTCTAATAGTTTATATCGTTAACTTTATATTCGAACAATATATCTAAACCTTAAGGCTCTACATGATCTAACTCTTGTAGAGTTTTGACTGTAAACGATACATTGTCTTTAAGTTTTGTTTCCCTATCTAGACTCTTATTAATTTTCTCTAGATTCTGCTCTGTGTCACTATTTTGCTCCACACAAGCCTTTTAAATTTTCAATAGTTTTCTCCTAATAATTCTTCTTTGCACTTCCTGCTCACTTTCTTGCAGTCTTTCAACTGATGATGTGAATTACCTAGTCAGCATTTTCTTTATATTGCTAATGAATTTTGTTTATGCGCTTGAGTTGACATTTTAATGTTCTGAAGAAGGCTAATTAATTAATAACTTAGGGTTTTATCTACGCTATTCCTAGTAAGGGTTATCCTAGATGTATATCTAATCGTCATTTAACTGTTATATAGAGGAGGTACTCTGATTGTGCAAGTCTGTTTGATGTTCTATAGAAGAACTCTAAGATAATTTTTTATTATTGAACATTGTAACCATAAACGGGTTGGATGAAATCTAAGATTAATTTCTTCTTTGATGATTTTTAATATTTTTGTCGAAAATAGTTTTTTATTTGCTATTAGTAGAATTAATACTCTTAGATTCAATGATTTCAGGCTCATTCAATAGTATTTCTGTTGGCTTAAGTTATATTGAAGATCTTTGATTGAGAATGGCCATATTTTCATCGAATGAGACATGCAAATCCTTCTTCTTTGACATACTTGACATTGACATCGAAGAAACCGATAGATTATTTCGACTCAAATCAAATGATCCATTTATAGTTGGAAGAATTACTCTCTTATTAGAACTCTCATTAGCATAGCTTGATACACTTTGATTGTGTAATTTATTATTGCTTGAACTACTTTTAAGTAACGGGGGACTATTCTGGCCCTGTTACTAGCTCTAATTCTAAGAGACTTGATTTTTCCAGTTTTTACCAAATTGTTTCTCCCACTTTTGTCTCTCGAGTTGTTATTTGTGATCCTCTAGTCGTTTTCTTATTTTTGCTATTAGTTTTTCATTTGTTTTAGCACCTATATCCGGATCATTACTCCCTTCAAGCCTTCTAAAGAAATCTCTTCTCTTGTGTAAATGAAAAGCTACATCTTCATTGGCAAACTAAGCTATTCTCATTGGCTCGGGAAGACTCTTCTTGATCTTTAGCTTAAATCTTCCCTTAAGCTTCTCATTATTCATTCTGTCTGCCTCCAGACACTTAGATTTATCAGTAATTTCTGTGAATCCAAAGTAACTCATAGATTTGAACTCCCTTTCAAGGTTAAAGTCATTTACTACTCGTTCTATTACTTTGCTTATTTAGTCTTTCTTATAATTCATCAAGTTTTTGCTACTATTTAATTCATCCTTAGGCTTTAGCTTATCTGAATGATGCTATACTTTGAGTCGATCATACTGCCTGATATAAATTTAATCACAAATCTGATTTGCATTTTTAAGTCGATTCTCCTTTAATCACTTAATTTATTCCTAAAGTGGATCCTCTGACTCTGGTTAGCGAGATAACCTCATTTACAAGTTATATTATTAAAAAGTTGATTATTATATTATATTATTGAGTCAGTTAAGGAAAAGTAACTTATCAAACATTTATTCTGCTTTATGGACTCATTTATCGATATCAATCAGTCCCACTTTTTATTTCCTCTAAGTATATAACTTTATTGATGTCTTTTCATGCTCCCAAAATTTCCATTATTTCTTCATTCGTTTCAGCTTCATCTAAAGGTGAAGAACCGCTATGATCTTTGGTATTCTTATCTGCTCCGTTATCGATGAGGAATTAAATCAGCTCAATATTTTCTAAATCCACAGCATAATGAAGTGCAGTTCTGCCCTAAGTATCAGAATTTTTGATAGAACAGCCAAGCTTTATCAATTTTTGTAGAGTTTCAATGGTGAATTCACAATCAATAGCTAGTATTAAGGGATCCATTCCTTCTTTATTCTTTGTGTTAACATCGAGTCGTTTTTCTTCTAAAAGCTAAATTAGCAAAGACTCATTTTTGTCCTCTCGAATCATTTGATAAGTTAGCATCATATCTTTCTCACTATGATAAATAATATATACTATTATCACTCAAATATACTTACTCTTAGGTAAGTGACTTCAAATACTAGGTTTAGTCCTCAGCTTTAGGTCTGGGAACAGACTTTGCCAAAATACCCCCTGATGTCATTGAGGAATCTTCAACTTTTATTCTCTTTATTTTCCCTGTCACTAATTAATCTACTATTTCTCGAAATTATTCATCATATCTGGTCATCAAAGCAATATACTCCTATTGGCATGTCTCAACTAATCTACCTCTCTGTTACAGCCAAGCTTAGCTATTATAATTCATTAGGTAAGTAAATCATAAAGATGCATATATTATGATAACAAGTGATTCAAACTCATTTCAAGAAAAAAGTCTTCAAAAATTCGCAACTTACTATTTAACTGGGTTAGTAACTTGATCATTATCTGGAGCTTCATCAGCATCTCCTTCTGTAATTTGTTTATATAGAGAATAGAATGTGAGCTTTCCTCTAGAGTCTACTTTTTCAAGAATAGTGGGTAGTTTCTATGTTGCCATAATGTAGAGACTATGAGTATTTTACTTATCAATCTACTTGATATCTAAGTCATTTAGTTAAGATTGATATTTAAAATTACGATTGATTATTATATCAGTAAAGACTGAAGATTTTTGTTTCTTGATTTTCAAGAAGAATCCAATAGTTATTGCTGTAACAGCAGCAAATCCTGCAAATTGAAGTAATTATTTTTTGTCAAAGTTAAACATTTTTTCTTAGTAGTATTAATTAATCTAATGTTACATCTAAATATTGGTTAACGGGGTTTTGGGGTTTTGGGGTTTTGGGG